AATCGGATACTTTTCAAACCAAATCGGACACTTTTCAAACCAAATCGGACAATTTCAAATCAAATCGGACACTTTTCTTCCGCGGTCTCCCTCCCTGCCCTTCGGGCAGACTAGTCTGCTGTTTCACATGCATGCAACTAGGGTGTTTCAGATTGGTGGGAGGAATCTCCACGAGTCCAACGGAATTTTCTGAACCTGACCTCCTCAGGAACTTTCTTATGGAAGTGCTAACCTCATCGGAGATAAAGGGCACCATGAAGGGAATTTTCCCCGTAAGGGGATTACCGCCCGGTCCGTTGGCTGTAGCACCTGTCCTGGTTCTATGCACAGCTGACGGGAGGTGGTCACCAGTAAGCCAAGCATGCAATTTTCACAGACACCTTCCTCTTCCTCCTCTCTCGAGCACACTTTTGCGGCAGTCCTGAACATGTTCTCACTACCGCACGCTTAGTCTGGAGAGGATGGGCTGATCGAAAGTGCACAATTATGTTTTTGCTGGAATTCGAGATACGACTTCTTCGTTTGGCTCTTCAATCGAAACGCGACCATATGTTCGCCTTGTTCAAGAAGTGTGTGCTCAAGGAAAATTATTGTGCCCAGTATTTGGAGGATCACCTCTGGAGGAGAATAGTGGGTGGGTCAAAGTCGATTTGTGATCGTATTCGATCTAATGTCAAACATCTTTACAAGAAATTCGACGGCCTTCTCAATTCTTCACGTGAACCCGTACGAAGGTCTCTTCGTACCAACCAGACACCTGTAGATCAAGCAGCAACAGAGAAAGAGCAGTCGGGCGTGTCGGATGTCAGAGTCTCCGTTCTAGGAAATCTCCACCTTTCCAACAACACGCTCCCCGTTCTGGAACTGGGTTCCAGTTTTTCACCATCGTGTTGTTTTATCCAACAAGACCTACGCTTAACATACCCTTCCGTAGCACATACTTCAGGCAACAAGAATCGCATACTGGTTCCGATATCAGTTTCGGGATTTTTGCTGATGAAGTATTCAAAGTGTTCAGTAGATACTGTGAGCGTTGCTAGCATTCAAACCTCTTCACGTGAGCAGGAAGCAGGGACTTCAATGAGCTCCGGGACCTGATTAAATCCCGACTATCTGTTAGCGACAAGGAGGGGAGTTCGTTGTCATCCCTTGCCAACTCGACCGTGACATAACGGAGCGGCATCTCGAGGACTCCTCTCTCTACCGACCTTCTTCAGCTAAAAGAATTTCAATCGCAATGTCGCAAAGCTGAATCGCGAATGGGTGGCGGTAGCAAAATCGGCGGGATTGGACCCTCAACTAATAATTCGCCTCAAACTTGATACATCCTAGTGCCCAGTACGATACCTTCCCATTAAGGCATAAGTTCCTGGCTACGGAAGACCTGACTTCGATAGATCCTTCCTCTATTAAGGTCAGACCTATTATCAGCTGCGTGGGGGACCTACAGACAGGATCGCGTGGTTCCTCAACAACATTCTGTCTCAGCTGCTCCAATATATACCGTCACACCTTCCAAACACTCAGATGTTCCTTAGCCGTCTCCGCAGAGTGCGTCCAAAGGGCAATTGTGTGATGGAGTCCTTTGACGTGGAAGCCCTCTACACTAACGTCAGTACTCGTCCGCTATGAAAGCCGTTTCCGAGCTTCTTAGCCAATACCGAGACGCGATTGATATGTGTGGGCTCTCCATAAGTCAAGTAATGGTGCTCCTGAAGCTGCGCCTGGACTGCAACATTTTCAGACCGTCAGGAACGTTTAACATGCAGGCTAGAGCCTAGCCATGGGACAACGGCTAGCACCTACTTTGACCATTGCTTTCATGGCAAAGATAGAAGCGCCAGTATCAGAACCTTGCTTTATTGTCGATATAGCGACGACTGCTTCACAGTGCCCAATCAGAGCGAACTGTACAAATGTTTTTTCATAATGAACGAGCAATCGGACCATATCAAATTAACACGTGAAAAACCCCACGACAGCTGGCTTCCGTTCCTCAATGTCCAGGTCAAGTGTGAGGGGGCGCTCATCTTACTAGGTGGTACAGAAAGCCATCCAGCAAAAACATAATTGTCCACTTTCGATCAGCCCATCCTCTCCAGACTAAGCGGCGGTAGTGAAGAACATGTTCAGGACTGCCGCAAAAGTGTGCTCGAGAGAGGAGGAGAGGAAGGTGTCTGTGAAAATGGCACGCGACATTGCTTGGCTTAAACGGTTACCACCTCCCGTCACCTGTGCATAGAACCAGGACAGGCGCTACAGCCAACGGACCGGGCGGTAATCCCCTTACGGGAAAAATCCCCTTTATGGTGCCCTCTGTCTCCGAGAGGTTAGCACTTCCATAAGAAAGTTCCTGG